TCAGTAAACAAATAATGATAACAATAATAATAATGATAGCAATTACTACCTTCACGCCCTGTGCTAAATACTTCACAGGCATTATCTCATTCAATCCTCACAGCACCATAGTGAGAACAAGAAATTAACATCTCTATTTGATAGGCACTGAGGCTGAGAGGTTTGTCCAAAGTGACACAGCTAATGATTGGGCAGTGATGTCAAGAAAAGCTTCTAAATAGTAAAGTCAGGTTCAAACCTGGGTATGTAAAAAATTTCAGTAGAGGGGAAGTGAGGATTGCAAGCCTTGCGCTGACACGGACGACGACTGCTCTCTTCCAGAAGCAGAGCTAGGTTCCAACACTGGCCTCGGTGAGCCAGGGCTTGGTTGGTGAAGGAGGGTGCAAGTAAAATTTGACTCTCTTCTCACGAGTCTGCAGATTTATCTTTCTCACATTACTTCCTCTAACTTCTTATCAGCCTTAAGAACTGTGGTGTCAACATGTTATCTCGAATCATTACTGCTCAGGCAACATTTGACAAAACATTCCCCAGGGGAAATAAACCACCCTGAACCTCCTTCCTCTCTGGCTGGGCTTCTGTCTCTACCTTCCTTCCTGAAGCTCTGAGCATCCATACTCCTTATTTAGTCAGAAACTGCTGACTAACATGCCCATGTTGGTATTTTCACCATTGTATCCCCAGAGTGCAGCACAGTGCCTGCACATAGTAGGCACTTAGTGCACATTTGTCATACGAATGAATTATTCTCTAATGGCCTCGTTAAATTCAACCACCATTAACTGGATACCTATTATGTGCTAGGCATCACTAATTCAGAGGTAAGAGGTAAGTGCTACCTGGAGGAAGTCTCAGTCTAGGGTGGGGGCAGAGTATAACCATCAATACCACCTAAAATACTTTTCAAAAATAATGCAGAAAATGAATGGATGATACACAACTTCTCAGGACCTCCATGGAGGAAAGAGCCAAGTCTGATGGGGACGGACACAGGAAAAGGGACCATTGATCTGCCTGGGGAGTTGCAGAAGGCTTCGCTGGTGGAGGATGAGGAGTGGGGAAAGGAGCATTCCAAGCAGAGGGACCAATCTCAGCAAAGGCATGAGGGTATAAAATTACTGCTTGGGCTAGAGCAAGGAATATGTACGGCAAATGACAAGAGATAGCTCTTTGAGACCAGACCACACATCATATATTTCCCAGGGAGTATGTATGGGTGGACGGTCTCGTGTAGGGATTAAAACACATTGAAGCACAATGAATTGAAGAAAGAAAAAGCTCCTGAAGTTGACATTATAATTAATAGGCTCATCCTATTAGGCCTCATTTAGATTCATTCTCATGTAGAGACAAAAATGTGATTAATCTAAGTAAATGCATTTCCAGAAGCATCCAGGGAAAGCTAAGGCCCAGGTGCAGGACGTTTCCAGCCCCACCTGGGTTTGGCGACCAGGAGGCAGCAAAGGTACCAGCAAGCATTTACATCACCCGGGTCAAGTCCTGGTACAGATGGCAGAGCCTCCTCCTAGCTCGTGGTCACAGGACACTTCCCCTCCCCCCGGCCAGGTGGTTGGCCTCCCTGTCTGTACCCTGTCCCCAGAACTGGAGACAAGAGGCTGGGCGGGCTGCTTGGGGGCTGCGTAGGAAAGTGGGGGCGGGGGAGGGGGCTGCCTGCAAACCTGCTGAATCGGGCTCCGCGAGGGGTTGCAGCGTGCGGCAGGGGGAGGCCTCAGTGTTCAGAGGGTTTGCCCTTTCCTCCCAGTGCCTGTCCCTGCTCGGCGCATTTCCTGCTCCGATTTGGGAATTTTCAGGCCCAGAGGGAAAGTCCCTTGGACGAATATTAGAAAGAGGGTAGTAGCACCGGATCGGCCCGGAGAGCGGGGAGGGAAAGGCTCGGTCCGCGGAGGGCGCGGGGAAGGGCGGAGTGGAGCTCGGTGGAACCCGCGTTCCTGTGCGGCTGGCTCCGGAGCGGAGCACAGAAAACAGAGGGCCCCTGGGAAGACGAGCGAGCGGGGACGACCGGCCGGCGGGCTGGGGGAGGGGAGGCGGGGGAGGCGGCCCAGTGGGCCTCTGGAGTCTGTGTGTGTCTGTGTCAGGGCGTGCGTGCGTGCGTGTGTGTGTGTGTGTGCGCGCGTGTGTGTGTGTCTGGCGCTTGTCCAGGGTGATTTCCCATAAACCACATGCCCCACGAGCCCGCTT